CCCGACGCTTTGTCTGCTGGGCCGTCAACTTATTGGCCACCATGCCGCTTTCGTCGCTACGAAGTCGACTTTTAACTACGAAACAATTGTTGTCATGTAGGAGGGCGCACCCATATACTTATAGCTGTACATATACATGTCAAGTTCCACCCCCAGTTCATCCCATTCGAAAATTTCTCGGTTACGGTAACGTTTGACGTTCGAGCAAACTAGTACAGTGTACTCGAAATTTTGCGACCAATCCTGTCCATCAGCTACACTACCGGTAACAAACTCGAAGAGCGTTGATGGCGTCGTCTATAACGGTACTGGGCGTTGCTTGGCTTGTGCTCCCTGGACCCACTAGAGTAATGGGTCGCCAAAAGATCTGGACACCAGAGGAAGTCGCCACGCTCGTGCGAGCTTGGATGTCGGCGAGCACCAGCTCGACTGAAGGCGCCGACAAGAAGGCGGCTCAGTTTTGGAACAAGGCCTTGCTCGCTTTCACGCGCAGGGTGATTGCGTTTCGCGAAGCGCAAGCGCCGCGAGCAAACAATGGTCGCGTTCCATACGCAAAGCGAACGTGATCTTCTGTTTCGGTGACGCCCCGAGACGGCCAGCTCTGCTGTGGCCGGACGCGACGTCGCTCTTCACCATCTTGCGACCGACAACACCGCCGCCGTGGCGTCGCTTGTTTGGTCGGTGAAACACCTCGTGCACGAGTTCGCCATCGTCGTCGTCATCGAGCAAGAACTCGCGCCTGTTACGGTGCCTGAGGGCTAAAACCGAAGTGAATGTGCGCACGCAAGAGAGCTTACAAAAAGGCGCGAAGCCGGTTAATTCGAATTTATCCGGTATATGCCGCTTGGATAGGATGGACGGGTGAAGATGACAAACCTATTTCACGATAGGATCCACCAATCACGGCCCTCCGAGAAAATAGGAAATAGGACGTCGGATGGAGATGCTCTTATTGTAGGAAATACTGTCCAGCCTAGAAACGAGGTCTACATTCATCACTTCCACACCACATAATTTATATCGACATGTATTGTGGTAGTTTGTCGCATGGAGGTGCTTGCGATGGCAGAGACGCGCGCCGAGCCAAGAGGATTACAAAGATCAAAATTGTGGTCGCTTCAACCGTGGAGCAACCCTCGAATTTAAAACCCAGTTTCAAATCTTTCTTTGTGTTTGTATACGATGCTGACATATTAAAAATGCCAGACTGTGGTCCGTCGTGAAAAACGCAGGCGACAACACGGTTTCGCCCGGCTTTTCTATTGAGCGATTTGTATTGGCCAGCCGAACTTGGGTATCATTTTCGAACCCGTCGCATGAGCCGAAGCGGCAGTAGCAGCGAGCGCCAGCTCAGCTGGAGTGCCGGCGAAGGAACGCCGCTGCTGAGCCCACTCTCGCGGTCCGCGACGCGGGACGTCAAGCTCGAGATCTCGGGCTCCGTGCGCGACAACCAGGAGAAGTGGAAGAACCTCGCCGACGTCGACATTGGCAGCCTCGAGCAGCCCGGCGTGCACTGCACGGCGCAGGACATGGCCAACGACATAGACAAGGACCTCGCCGACCTCAAGGCGCACGATCTCTTTGACGACCGGCTGCCGCATCGCTGGTCCCGGCGCGGGTCCATCTCGCTAAGCGGGACAGGCATCCCGTCGCCCATGAACTTGCCCAACACGGTCAACAAGTACATGGTCGCGGCGGCCTTCATCCTCGATGGCATCCACGGGCGGAAGATTGGATACCGCGTCGACTATACGTCGTTGCAGCTCACGCGCATGTTCCACGCGGACTGGTACCGCCACGTCTTCAACTTCATCTCGCTTGTGTGCTGCGCGCTCGCGTTTGTCGAGAACGTCCAGCACTCGACGCACTACCTCTGGGTACCACGTACTCCGTTATGGTATTGTGTCTCAATGGCTATTGTAGGTCGAGCTCGTCTGCCTCGTGCTCTTTGGCATCGACATTTACATCCGATACGCCATGAGCTCGGACATTACCAAGCGCCAGTTTCGGAAGCGCGAGCCATGGGCGACCGTGCGCCTTGGTCTCATTGCGCTTACGTTTCTCGACATTGGCCTGTACTTTCTCGGTGTTGGCGTCGCCTTGAACCGCACGTCGCGCATCTTTCGGCCTTTCTTCCTCATTGCGCGCCGCCGCAACGTGCGCGTCGTCTTTGGGAGCTGCATCCGCGCGCTCAAGGACGTGTTTGTCATTATCTGTCTCGAGTTTTGCCTCGTGGGCTTTTTTGGGCTCATGGGTTACCTCCTCTTTGCCGACTCGAGCGTCATTCTGGGCGTCCCGTTCTTCTCGACGCTCGGCGACTCGCTGTACAACATGCTTCTCATTAGCTCGTGCATGCCTGCTATGGTGCCGGTACGCCACGGTCCGACACCTCGACGATTAAACGAGGTTTGCGTAGGTCATTTTGCCGTACTTTGAGCGGTCGCAGTGGAGTGCGATTTACTTTGTCATTTTCGTGCTCCTCGCGCACTTTTTCGTCGCCAAGCTCACGATCGCCGTGTCGTACCGCACGTACAAGAAGAACACGGAGAAGATGCTCATCAAGCGCCTCCAAAAACGCAAGATTGCGCTCCGAAAGGCGTTTGATCTTCTGCGCGACGACGAGGTGACGGGCAAAACCCATTCGATCGTGTCGCTCGAGAGCTGGATCGCCATTTGCCAGTACGTTATCCTTTTTCTTGCTCGTGAAGCGATTATGTCTTGTCATGCAGGTACCTCAAGCCGTCATGGACGGATGAGGAAGCGCAGCTCGTCTTCTTTTCGGTCGACGAAGATCGCGACGGCACGGTCGACTTTGCCCAGTTCATGCAGCTCGCGTCCGTGCTTGTGAACGCCAACATCTCCAAGCGCAACCGGTATTCGATCCAATTCGACGGACTGCGCAAGTGGCAGCACCGTGTGCGGTCGGTTCTGCTCGCGGAAACCAAGATTTTCGGCTACCCGTTCGTGTACGGCGAGATGGTGGTCGGGTTCCTCATCGTGCTCTCGATCATCCAAGCGACACAAGTCAACAACTATGCGCTCACGTACTCGCTCAACCACACGTGGCGCTTCGTCGGCATTTGTCTTCTCTCTCTTTTCACGCTCGAGATTGCGCTCAAGCTCTTTGCGTTTGGCTACGACGGTACTGAGTTCTGCATGACATATTGATAGCTCATCGCATGGTCTAGAATTCTTCCACCGCCCGTTCTGCCAACTCGATCTGTGGATCGCGGCCGTCGGTTGGGTCTTTTACCTTCTCACGAGCCTCTACCCGGGCTTCCCCGTCGTATTCTACGACCTCTCGCTCGCGGTGCGTTCACTGCGCGTGCTCAAGCTCCTCAACTTGATCCCGCCCTTTCATGACATTCTCTGGACCATGGTACACTCCCCCATTTCTTATTGCGCAACTCATTGTGCTGGTAGAGTCGGATCTTGCCGCTCGTGTCGCAGCTCAGCCTTGTCATTGTGAGCGTCGTCTACTCCTTTGCGATCCTCGTATGTTCACCGCGACCGCTCAAAGCTCAGCGTACCCGACATTATGTAGGCCCAGTCCAACTACGGCCCCGTTCTCGCGGCCTACCCCGAAGAGCTCAAGCCCGCCGCGACGCCGTGGTACGTCAGCCGCCAAGTGTTTCAGTTCGACACGTTTGAGAGGTACGATGCGGACGCCGGCGCGTCAATATGGATGCCTGATATTTCACCTAGAGCACTTGTGACGCTGTTCGAAGTCGCGACGCTCGCTGGCTGGAACGCGGTCATGGATGCTGCCTACGTCATGACGCAGTCGGCCAACACTCGCGTTTTCTTCTTCACGTACCGCATGACGATCAGCAACATTTTGCTCCCGATTTTCGTCGGTTTCCTCGTCGAGAGCTTTAGCTCCAACCAAAAGCCCATCCTCGCGTATGTGTCTCGGGAATGCGTATGAGCCTAACAAGTGTGGGTAGGGAGGAAACCGAGTCGTCGACGACGCAGTTGCTGCCCGTGATTGTCGACCAAATGGGCGTCCCGGACGTCACCAAGCTGCCGCCATCGCACGTCAAGTACAAGATGAGCTTCCAGCGCCGCGCCAGCGACATCCAGTCGGCCATGTTTGATTTCTCCAAGGCGCGGAAGAGTACAGCCGAGGACGAGCTCGCCAAGGTCAAGCACCAGCTCCAGTTGATCACAGTCATGAAGGACAAGGAACTCCAAGCGTTACGCGCCAAGCTTGACGACTCGCGCGCCCTCGTCGCGTCCCTCGAGCGCAATCGCGTCCTCTCGTCGAGCAACGCGTCCGAGTCATCGAGCGGTGGATCGCGTCCGCCACTGAGCGCGTCGGCGGCCTCCTCCAAGCAAGGAAAAGCCGCATTCGAGTAAATATAAGCCCAATAAGAACACGTATGCGTTTCCTATATTTCAAGGTCGTTGTCAACATTATCGGGATTTTAAGCTCAGATTGCCAACTTGTGCACATGTTGGGCATTCTGAATGCTAGATCACTAGGAACGGGAGTTGCGTGCTGGTGAAAGTTGGTTGTGTTTTTAGATATTTTAGAGGTACAAGGGAATTGGGAAGCTAGGCGGAGGGTCGGCGAGCAGGCGGAAAGCTAGGGCATGTGTGCTGAAGGCGCTCCTTAGTGTGCTTCGTCGCTGCTGTCGTAGTTGGGGTCGGCGCGGTCGACAACGTCGGTCGTCGGGTGGTGGTAGTCGTCGAGGGCATTGCCCCAGTTGTGGCCACCGGCACCGTGCTTCTTGGGCTCCGCTCCCGAGCCCACGGGGCCGCGCGACTGGCGGTCCTTGTGGGTGTTCTTCTTGTTCTGGAGTTCGCGGCTCTGGGGCATCTTGGTGAGGTTGAGATCGGATTTGGAAATGGACTTCCGTGGCATCCCCGGCACCACGCTGCAAAAACGGTGGACCTTGAAGTTGCTTCAAGCACACGCCCGGATTGGCTGCCAAGTTAAGCGCGTTTCTAAATCCAGCCAATCCACGGCCGGATCAACGTCCTGTCGCAACCGGAAATAGATTCGGCCCGCTGCTGTCGCTCACCAGCTATTCGCACGCATACCGACGCTTTGTTTCTATGTACGTGTACTTTGCCATTTAATTTCAATAGTAATAACGAGCTATATAATGATAGTCGGCGTGTTTCTAGTCGGTTGCAGCTTGGCGGAAAAGATCGCCCGAGCCAATTTTCGGCCGCAGATTTCTCAGGTGCGCGCAGGTTCTATGAACAGAGGCACGGCCACATCCGCTGCACAGCTCCGCCGCATCCCTTCCAGACTTGGCGATAGTTGTCGAATCGAATGCACCTCCATTTTGGGTTCTGCATGCAGCACTGGCCCATGGGGCTGATGTGAAGATGATCATAGGCAGGAAACCGACGGCTTACACGGCTCACATTCACGCGAGAAATCCTCCGATATACATTCTTAGCTAAAAGGCAGTAGTGACGAGAGGCGAGGCAACCGCTCGATCTGCAATGTGACGAGATACGCCACTGGTTTTGCTGGGCCAAGGAGCGTCGAGATCGTACGATCAACGCTAAACACCGCATGGACGTGCACTGCTGAAGCTGCCGCATTGATGGGAAGACGATGAACTCATGGCTGCTCACGCCCTTATCTACCACCGGCCGCGGGCAGATCCAAGCTCCAACGCACCCGCTCAAGATCCAAGGCTGCGGCTCATTGCTCGCAGTGCGGTTTGGTTTGGCCAATCCAACTCAAGGGCCTTCTAATTTTAAGCCAATCCGATCCCGCCAAGTTTAAAAAGGACAAGCGGTTGCTTGAAATATAATGTCTCCAACGCCATGATTGAATATAAAGTCAAGTCAAATGGCAAATTCAAGGATTTAAATTACGCCGAGACCAGGTTTTTGAAATTTCAAATTCCAGTTCGAGTTGCCATCATCCATCATCATGCAAGGGTCGATCCTCGGCTGGGTGAACCACCAGCGCAAGCCCATCGACGGCCGGGACCCGCATGCAGCGATGAAGAAGACCCCGGCGTCCTCTCCGTGGAAGGAAGCGCCGAAGGCCAAGCGCTTGAAGCGCATGGAGCCGGTCCCGCCCATGGCCGACGACGACAGCGCGACAGACCTTGAAGGTTGTAGCCAAGAGAGCACTTGCTTCGGCGATGCCCATCACTCCAGTTCTGACGCTCACAGCACCTTCGCACACTCGCTAGCCGTAGACGCCGTCCGCGCGCTGCCGTCGACGCCGCCCATGGCCATGTTCGAGACGCTCCTCGAGCCGCGAAAGATGGTGCGTCGCGCGCTCTACCGATACCGATAACATCACGTTCTTCTGTAGATCAAGGACAGCGTGCACGGCTGCATCTACCTCGAGCCACTTTGCATGGCGATCATCGACACCATGCAGGTAGCGACGCCTTCAGGATGCTCTTTCGATACGAGTTTCTCCGTGCTAGTTTCAGCGCCTCCGTCATCTCAAGCAGCTCGGTGCGTCGTCGCACGTCTACATGAGCGCGACGCATTCGCGCTTTGAGCACTCGATCGGCGTCGCGTTCCTTGCCGAGAAGATGCTGCGGCGGCTTTGCGACGTGCAGCCATGGCTCCCGATCTCGCCCACGGATGTTCTCTGCGTCAAGATTGCTGGCTTGTGTCACGACCTCGGTACCTTGAAAGTTTGCTTCCCCGACTCTAACATGCTTGTGCAGGGCACGGGCCATTCAGCCACGTGTACGATGGTATCTTCATGGAGCAGCTTCGCGAGCGCGGCGAGATGCTGCCGTCCATGGATGGATGGACGCACGAACAGGGCTCGCTCGACTTGCTTGACCACCTTCTCTACAGCAATCGCATCGACTTGTCGGAGCATGGGCTTACGGACATCGACTATGTCTTTATTCGCGAGCTCATTCTCGGCCGGCCGCTCTCGGGCGATACGTATCAAGGCCGCCCCGACGCCATGTTCTTGTACCAGGTCGTCAACAACTCTGTGACGGGCCTCGACGTCGACAAGCTCGACTACTTTATGCGCGATGCGCTGTACACGGGCGCCAAGAGTAGCTGCGACACGCACCTCCTTCTCTCCGCCGTCCGCGTGCTTCCCGACCGAACGACGGGCGACCTGTCAATGTGCTGGCCGGAAAAGCTTGCAGAGCAGCTCTTGAAGGTCTTTCGAACGCGCTTTGAGCTGCACCAAGCCGTGTACCAACACAAGGTTCATGCATTGTCACGGCAAGACAGCACTCATTATGGTCATGTTGTGTAGGTCTCACGTGCTGTGGAATACATGATTTGCGACGCCTTGCTGGAAGCGGACGCGCTCTTCAAGGTGCATTGAGGGATAACAAACACGGCCCTTTGAATGGCATGTAACTCGTAGATGAAGGGCACACGCATCTCACGGGCACCGCTCGATATGGTATGGCATTCGCACGTTGTCCGAGCGATCTCTGATGCGTGACGCGTAGGACGCCTACCAACTGCTCGACGATCGTATTTTGAGCCACATTGAGTGCAGCACAGACCCGCGCCTCGCCAAGTCGCAAGCTATCTTGCGTCGCATTTCCGAGAAGCCGCTGTACAAGTGCATTGGGAAAACCCAGATCACGACGCACTCGCAAACCAAGTCGATTCCGGAGCTCAAGCACGAGATTGCAGCCATGGTGTCACCGCCCTTGGGTAGGAATCTCGATGCATTACTGAGGCGTCATTGCTTGTTAGATGTTGCGCAGCTCATTCTCGAGCGCAACAAGGTGCACTATGGCCAAAAGGAGAAGGACCCGCTGTGCAACATGCGATTCTTCAAGAAGGCGGCTACGGGCGGCGCAACTTGCTACCAATTGGCACCAGCGCTTTACGAAATGCACTGCCCCAAGCACTTTCTCGAGTGCAACTTACGCCTCTTTGTGCGCGATGCATCCCTGGTACACGCGGTATTGTCGAGTCCATTCGTCTCACATTGGTGTCCTTAGGCCCCGACCTCGCGCGTGGCTCTTGCCAAGTGGAGTGAAGAGCGCAACCACTCGAGCTTGCATCCGCAGGAATCTTAACTGAGTTTTGGCGTTTGCTCGGGCTGCGTTGGTAGCTTTTCCATGACGTGGCTGTCGTTGTGTGCGAAAGCTGTCGATGCCTCTTGCGCAAAACCTTGTAGAAACGATGCGGAGACCGCCGGTAGATTGCCCAGTGGGAGGCTGTATGGCATCAAGTTGTAGTTTTGGTTGACGCTCAGGCGCGGATCGCCACTAGTGCAAAGAACATGAGAGGTGGAGGCGCTGCTCGTGGCATACTAGCGAGGCGGTAGCTTGGGCTCTTCGAGCCGATACGCGCGCCCAGGTTGCCGCAGCGCTTTCATCACCGAGTTCTCGGTGCAGCTAGCGCTGCCAGGACAGCAGCCATCGACGCACGGCGAGTCAGGCGGGACGATTGCCGTCGCGTCAAAAATCTCGCGCCGAGCTCCCAACTTGGGGGTAAAGTCACCGAGACGGTACGTACAATAGCCCGCTTTGCAGTACCCTTTACGCGTGCACGAGGCCATGGCGTCCTTGCGCTGGCTAAAGCTACATCCGATGCGGACGAGACATTCGCCCATTTTGCTACAATCGAAGGCGCGTCGTTGACGGTCTATAGAGAAATTTTTGTTAAAACCTGTAGCAAGGGCACGTGAAGCGTGATGTGTCGTGGTAGATGCTCGGGCAGCTCATCTTGCAGCTCGTGACGTCCGAGGGAAGGCATCCTACGTTAGGCATGATGGACAATACTCGTCACGATGCGGAGACGTGCACCTGACTTCAGCGGCTTGAGATGAGGCAGTGCCGTCTAGAATGGGATTGTTTCTTCCATCAAGATAGAAAATGAAATAGTGAGCGCGACCTGTGCATTAGCAATGGTCACAGCAAACCCAAGAAGGAGCATCCAGCTCATAGCTTCGCGATGATGGTGACGGCAGCTTGGCGGCAACTATAAATACCCCGTTGGTGGGTCGGGCTAATGCGATGTTTATATTGGCTGATTTAAAAATAGTTTTGATCAATCAGCGATGAGGAAAAAACTCCTTGAATCGGGAACGCCGATTCCACCGAGGTCGAGTCGCCAAAACACGTCTGGAAACGAAATCGCCCATAGTCGGCATATCGATAGAGGACATTCAGGAGATCTCGAAATGCTACACCACGTCGCCGTTGGAGCTCCACAGTGAGAAATATTTGACAACAAAGTCACGACATATGTTTCTGGGTATCGTAGTCGTGATTCTCGGTGTTGTACGAGTGTGGGCTGCATTGCGACAACATAGACCCGCCCTCGCCTACACGCTTGTAACCAGCCAACATACCATCATTGACAGTCCTTACTCGAGCTTGCATCAACTTCTATACTCATCAGCCAGCCCACGACGTCCACTGCTGCCTGGTGTCTTTAGCCATTAATACCAAATTGTACTGCTCGAACATCTTGATCAATGTTAATCACTTCATTACACCGTGCGCGAGGCGCGGACCGATCGGGCGTGTTGCGTAATGCGCGCATGGGCCTGAGACGGATGGCCGGCGTTGATGCGCGAGTCGAACGCCGTCGACGTGTACGTGTTGGCGTTGAGCGCGTAGTTGACAGCAAACTTGATCAAGTCGAGGGGGAAGTGCCACACGATCGACCAGATCCAGGCGATCACGAGGTATCCACCGCCGCAGCCGAAGACGGCGATACGGTCCGACGGGTATCCGTTGAAGCCGTAGTAGCCGATCACCGAAGCCACAACTTGGGCAAAGACGAACGCAATGAGGAGGAGGTTGCACGGCTTCTCGGCAAAGAACCACGTGTTGATGCCGGCCGTACGCGTGACAAAGATGAGCGCCTGGCCCGAGATCGAGACCTGCGTGTAAACGAGCGAGCGGAGGATACCGTCCTTCTTTTGCATACCGGGGCCGATAGCCTTGTGGTTCTTTGTGAAACGAGTGTTGAAATTTGAGTAGTCCCACATGAAGTCGCAGAAGCTGACGCCGTTGGTCAGCGGGATGTAGCCGCGCCCGACAAAGGCGACGCCGCGGCCGTTGAGCGCATCGTCGAGCTCCTTGGCCTCGGCCGTGTACTGCTTGTAGAACTGCTGGTAGACTTCATCGGCCGACGGTTCGCGGTCCAGATCGTTGATGTGGCTGCCCTTGAGGTGCTCGAAGAGCTTGCCCCAGTTCGAGTTCTTCGACTCGGCGTTGTACTTCTTTTTGTAGCCTTCGACGTAGTCCTTCCGGTTCTTCCGAAGGAGTCCCAAGTTTTCCAGGCTGAGCGACGGCTTGTAGACCGAGCCATCGAGTTCGCCACAGGCTGCTGTATCGTTGGTCTTCATACACGACTGGACGCGTTCCGTGAAGTACGAGTTGCATGCGTCCTTGATGCAGCCAACGCAGAGGTTCTCCGAGTCGATAAAACCTTCAAACGCCGACGTGTTGTACGCGACACCGACCAAGACGATCGTCGAAATCGTGAGCCAAATGCCAAAGCAGATCGACGAGATGAACACCTGCTTGAGCTTCCACGAGTCGGGCGTGCGCGACGCCGTCACGTTGTCCTTGGAGATGGTCAAGATCGTGCCGTCGTTCAAAATGGCCAAGACAACGACGAGGATCGTGGGGAAGTACCAGTTGTAGCACACCGTGAGCAGGCCAAACGTCAAGACAATACGGACTGTCATCGCAATCGAGTACATGGCGTAGTTCTTCATGCGCAAGAAGATCTCGCGCGACATGCGGATGGCCGTGATGATGACCGAGAGACCAGGCGACACGAGCACAATGTCGGCAGCAGCACGGGCAGCGTCGGTGGCGTCGTCGACGGCAATACCAATGTCGGCCTGTGCAAGCGCCGGTGCATCGTTGACACCGTCACCCGTCATACCAACAATCTTGTCGAGCGACTGGAGCTGGCGCACAATCTCAAACTTGTGCTCAGGAAAGACTTGAGCAAAGCCGTCCGTCTCGTACACCATCTGCGCAAGGTTGACACCCGGCGGCGGCGCCTTGTTGAAGAACGACGTGTCCAAAATGTTGGTGGGCATACCAAGCTGGCGACACGTCTCAATGGCAATGACGCGGTGGTCGCCCGTGACCATCTTGACTGCAACTCCGAGCTCGATGGCACGCTTGACCGTCTCGGCGGTATCGTGGCGGGGCGGGTCAAAGAGCGGAAGGATACCGACAAGCTTCCACGAGGCTTCCTCCATCGGAACGTCGCCGTGCGAGAACGAGACACCGAGACCACGGTAGCCGCGCGACGCGTACTCGTTGATGCGACCTTCGACTTCTTCACGAAGGGCGTCGGCGTTGTCGTCCATGTCCAAGCAAACTTGCGGCGCACCCTTGCAGGCGCGGAAGACCTTGCCCGTCGTGTTGTCCTTGATCTTGGCGATCGTGCGCTTCGTCGTCGGGTCGAACGGCGTGTAGTGCAGCAAGGTGTACTTCTCCCACATCGTAGCGTTACCAGGATACGTGTTGTGGCACACGACGTCGATGGCCTCGTTGTTCTCGATACGCGCCGAGAGAGCACCATAGAGGAGGATGTCGTCGCCCGTGTAGTCGTTGTACGGCACGAGGTTCTCCAAGTCCACCGAGAGCTTGTTCAGCGTGAGCGTACCGGTCTTGTCCGAGCAAAGGATCTCCATCGAAGCCATCTCCTCGATCGACGTGAGGCGCGTGACGATGGCGTTCTCCTTGGCAAGCGCCGACGAACCAATCGCAAGCGTGACCGACAAGACCGTGGGCATGGCCACCGGGATGCCACCGACGATCAAGACGAGGATGTTGGCGACACCGAGGCAGCCGTCGGTGATGATCAAGCACGGGTTCTCGTCCTTGCGAGCGCCCATCTGAACGACGAGCTCGATGATGCACCAGACGATGATCGAGACCATGCAAAAGTTGCCGACCGTCGTGAGCACTTCCTGGAGACGACCATGCGACTCGACGCCGGCAATCTGCTCGGCGGCGCGACCAAGAAACGTGTGGACACCCGTGCTCGTGACAACAGCTTCGATTTCTCCCTGCTTGCAGATCGAACCCGAGTAGCCTTCGTCGCCTTCGCTCTTGGTCACCGGAAGCGACTCACCCGTCAGCGACGACTGATCGATCTTGACCGAGTCGCCCTCAAGGAACTTGACGTCGGCCGGAAGTACATCACCGAGACGAATGCGGATCACGTCACCGGGCACGAGCTGGTCGGCGGGAAGGTTGATCATGGCACCGTCACGGAACACCTTGCACTCGGGCGCGAGCTGGCCCATGAGCGCCGAGACGGCGTCACCAGCCTGCATCTCTTCAAAGTAGCCAATGCACGCGTTCAGCAGCAGCAGCGCGAGAATCAAACCAAAGTCCGGGAAGTCAAGCAAGACAAGCGACAAGATGGCCGCGACCTCCATGGCCCACGAGAGCGGGTTCCACATGAAGCCGAGAAAGACCATGAGGCGGTTGACCTCGTGCTTGGGTAGCGCGTTCGGGCCGTGCTCAAGGAGACGCTTCTCGGCTTCATCGGACGAGAGACCTTCACGCGTCGCCTTGAGCTTGTCGAGGGCCGCGTTGAGCGGAATCGCGCCCCACTCGATCTGGCCGGCCTCGTTCACGTAGTTTTTCGCATCGTTGGGCGTCGCCAAGTTCGAGTACCCGGTCATGCTGCGCGGGCGAGCGGAAAACTACAAGTGATCCTGGCGGCGAGAGGTGTGGAGGGTTGGCGCCTCCTCTGCTGCGTAAAAGCGGGGCCACGACCGGTCGTGATACAGCGCTTTGCATCCAAGCCGGCTGGCGACGCTTTGCAGTTGGCTTTGAGCAAGCGGTGCGGGATAGCATCAGCACGTGGCGAAGGCTCTCCCGCCTGCGTCCATGTTCTGTTCGCCTGGTTTAGACGCCGCATGGAGCGTCCGCGTCCACACGACCGAAGCGTCGAGGTGTGCTTCGTTGAGAGCGGAGTCGGTGGCGCGGGAATTGGCCGCCGCCGTATCCAATTATGGCAAGCACTCATTGGCTAAAATGCGAGAGCGATGTTGATCTATGTGGCCAGTGATTGGTCAAAAAGAAGTTTACGGTGCTCCATGAGCGACGAGGTCGAGCTCGTGGCCACGTTCCCGGCGCCGCCGGCCTTCATGAGCCTCTACGCGGAGGGGCCGGAGATGGGGCCTCCTCCGCCGGCGCCGCTCAAGCCGACGTACCACTCCTTCGGCACGGCGTACGCCACCGAGGACGCGGTCCCGGACCTCCTCGGCGACCGCAAGCTCTACGCCACGGGCAGCAACGTCAAGACCGAGATGAAGCGCATGAACAAGTCGCTCATCTTCACCTTTCTCGAGCTTGTCGAGGTGCTCATTGCCAACCCCACCAAGTTCAAGTCCGCACATCCATGTATCGTCGAGGTTCTCATCGATGGGGCTGTCGTAGCGAGAAGATTGACGACATTGAGCTGCTCTTTCTCAATTTGCACAACCTCATCAACGCGTATCGACCACACCAGGTACAGCGTCAACCGACGCACGTAGCATGCGACGCTCTATGGCATAGGCGCGCGAGACGCTCATCGAGATGCTCAAGCAGCAAATCGACGAGCGCAAGGAAGCGGCGGCCGACATTCGCCGGTGCGACGCTCTGCAGCAGCAGCCGCTGCATGACGAATGCTCATGTAGGGTCATTGAAGAGTCCAAGATCGCGGTCCAAGCCGCGCACGCAGAGCTCGACTCGGACGCCAAGCTCCAAGACATGGTCGACGCGCCCATGTCGCCGGTCGAAGAGGCCGCCGACGTCACCATGGACGACGACGACGCGCACGCAGCGCCCGCGATCGACACCGAGGTACACATGTACAGCATCACATGCAATCTCCTATGTGGTTGCTAGAAACTGCGGCAAAACCAGCTTGAGCAAGACCGGTTCTTTGTGCTCTGCCAAAAAATCATCGATAACATGAACCCGTAAGGCTCCTCAACCAATTGCTTTTCTTCCTTGAGACGCCACGAGAACTACGAGGCCGACTTCATGTATTGGTCCGTGAGGTTGGAGAGAGCTTGGTTGGGCACAGCGCCAGTCGATTTCGGCGCTTTGGGCTAGACCACTGCATCAGTGAAAGCGCCTCCCTGCGTACTAATTACCGTGTAGGTCGGTGGTACGACAAACCACTCGGGCGGGGACGAAGCCAGCTGCAAGGACGCAAAGCGAGCCGTCGCCGAGATGGACGGGAACACGGGCAGCGTCACTTGAACGGGAAAGCCTGGCGGTAGCTTCTACGCAAGCAGTCGTGACTGGCGTATGCAAGAGCTCGTAGTACGGTTTGGAAAAAGTCGACGAGCGCTGCAAATTGCGACGACGTGGCGGCAAGCACCTGCACGACGGGCAAAAACTCGGCCACCTACCACGCAATGGAGAAGAGGACGTGGCAATGACACGAAGTACGGTGAGCGGAAAGGTATCGGAGAGGTACACGGTGCCCGTTAGCTGCTTGGTGTAGCAACTTGTCGGCGGAGTCTACCATCACAGCAATGCTATCACAGGGTTGGAGCAAACATCTCAACCGTGTGCATGGGAATGGCAGGTTTCGGGTTCATGGCGAGAAGCGCCGGTGGCAGCGACGTGCGGTCGACGCCAAACCACTGCTCAAAGGTCACAAGGTGACTCGATGTGTCGGGCGCCCCGCGGACATCGGGCGTCTCGGCCTCAACGGTATCCAGGATCGGGAATATTGCAAAATGCAGCGTCTTGGATCTACAAGAATACGTGTGGTTTGTCGAATCGCGTGCAGCGAGAGAACCGGAACATGGCGTGGGCATTGTCCCAGCGCACGATGAGGTTGCCGCTGGTCTTGGCCTTGTGGCATCCCTGCATTGGCGCGGCTTTGGTCGGACGCACCCGCTGTTCGGGCACGACCTCGGATATCAAGTGCACCTTTTCCTACAAAACACGATGTAAAACACTGTTTTTACGCACGAAACTCTGTACCGGGTCCGAGTCGGCCTTGGCGATCGCGTACCACTCGTCGGGCACAAAGCAGACGCTAAACTCGACGTCGTGGTCGTCCACGTAAAACTTCCAGCCAATCGTGTCGCCGGCTTGCATGCCAATCGGGACCGCGTGCTCGAGACCTGGCGCGATCTCGAGGGTCGTCTCGGCCTCCTGCAGCTTGTCAAAGAGCCCCGTCGCGACGGGAAACGTAGGCGACAGCACGTCCTACGCCAGCCTCAGCGTCAACTTTCAACGTTTTTCTGATATGCACCGGTGTCGCGCCCATCGGCGGTGGACGGTGTGGCGCCTTGGCCGGCCACGACTGCATGCGCACACAAAGGCCCTCCATATCAAAGATCCGCGCGTCCTTCCAGAGGCCAACAGCTTCCGTCATCTGAGGTCCGTTGGGTGACAGCCAGTGGCGGCGCGGCATGAGCTGCAGAGACGCCATGTCGACATGCATGTTTGTCGTGCGGTTCGTCAGGAGCAAGTGGAGTTGCCGCTGGACGTCGGCGTCGGTCGCTGGCGCGGGGAGCCAGTCGCGCACGGTCTGGCGTTCGTGGTCGAGCGTCACGAGTCGATCGGGCAAGAGAAGAATCGAGAGCCGACCGCGCTTCCAGCGCAGGCTCTTGAAGCCGGAGAGTGTCATATCCACGCGGAGACTGCCGTGCGACTTGTAGAGTTTGATCGTATCGCTCGGCAAGAGCGACGAAAGCATCGGGACCCACGACGTCACCTGCAGACCATGGATAACGCGAATGAAGCCATGAAAATACCGCGAGATCGAGCTCGGCGGTAAAGTCGGGCATGGCCGCGAGCTGCGCCGACGCTGCGAGCAGCTTGGCCTTGAGCACCTCGGGTACCTGTGCGTTCTCTACAACGACCGTTTGTACGTGGCCTGCTGGTCTTGGTGAGCCTACCGCGCTGGACAAGATCGCACAGAAGGTCTTTGTTGTTGGCGTGAATGGCTCGATGCAGTGCCTTCCAGCCGCTCGCATCCCGCGACCGTGGCCGCGCGTGACCAACCTAGAACGCATGACGCACGACCGCTCGCTCTCTTCGCGCGTCGTACATTGAGGAGAGTATCGACGATAGCCCGAGTCTCGCGATGAGCGCACTGCAGGGCAAAGTGCAACGCGCGATGGCCATGGCGGTCACGGGTCTCGACGGAAGCGCCGGCGCTGAGCGCAGCTTCGACCTGGTCGATGTCTCCGTTCTACAAGTGCTTGAGGTGTCATCCCGGTGGTCCATTGTACCCAGATCGCGATGTGGAGCGGCGAGATGCTGCTGCTTCCTCCGTCCATCACGCTCACGTTTCACGGGTCAATTCGCTTATAAAGTGGTACAAATTTCGAAGCCGTTACGATCCAACAAAGAATTGCCGGCGTCATGACCACAGCGAAGACTTGGAAATGTTGGCGCCACTGTGAGCTCTCGGTGAGATGCCTAGTGTCGAAGCAAGATAGGACTTGGATATAGGTATATTTCTATCGCAGAGTTGGTATCATCCTGCAGGCTTCAACGACGGCGCTGGGCGGACAAATCCCTCGAACTCGAGTTTGCGTGATCGTCGATGCGAGGCTCTCGCTCGCCTCGAGTGCCCACTAGTTTGCCGTTGCAGCCCTACCCCTGATTTAACAGCTGGAGCGGATGCTGGTGTGCACAGTGATCGGTGGGGCAAGCTGTTCAAGCACGTGGCACAATCTAAGAACTTTGCACCTCGGTGGTGTCTTCCCTCTCGAAGGCATCCTATCGCGGCTAAAGCATCGTTGCTGGGAATGAGAGGCAGCTGCGCAATGAAGCTTCGTAGCTCGTCTACAGGATGTGCGACGCGCGCCAGAGACGAGCTCGACGAACGTGGGCGAGGCCACGGATCCATTCCTGCCGCACGACGCGACGATAGGTCGTGGGTAAGGGAGTATTCTGTGCTTCTTTTACGCGGCGCCTCCTGGGTGCTCTCATCCACTCGAGCTCCTAGGCTCGGTCTCTGGATATCGTTGCCATGTACTACTACACTACCTACACTGCTCCCTACTACCCGCCGTGCGCATCTACGGCAACGGTGCAAACACCAGCGTGGTCTTGCCGCGGGTAAAGCCGCGCAGTGCCATCCAGACCGTAAAAGATGAGGCGGCGGGAAACTTCCTTGGAGCTGCAAACAGCGTGTGACAGCGTGTAGTACGGTTGTGGCAGGTTCGGATGTGGCGATACGTGGCGCATCCCTGTGCCTCCATTCTAGTACGGCGCTCCTCGCGGCGGCACCCAAGATGTGGCGGCCATAGCATCGTCGACGCTGGCGTGCATCCCGCCTGTAGCACTCTCAAATCCTGTCGCTTGTTGGACAAAAAGGCAAAGATTTCAGTGGATATACACCAATCAAATGCGCCCTTGAACTTCAACACCGGACGACGACCAAGTGCGGGTTCTTCGGACTTTGTGGGCGAGATAGCACGGAAATAGTGTGCTTGGCGCCAATTACGGCAGCTGCAGAGGATGGGAACCCGCTTCGTGGCCACACGACCTTTCTGCGCACCGAGTGGGGCCACTTGGTCGCTTGGCACAGGCGCACTCAAATCTTAATCAATGGCTTTCTCACGTCGCCGGTGGTAGCTTTGACGTTGTCGTAGGGACTGGTGGTTGCCCGGACGCCGACGTCAAATCCCGCGCAACAGCAAATGGTAGGTGCTTGAAGCTGACGAGGAAGCTGATGGTCAGCGGCTGAACAGCAGCGCGTCGGGTGGTACGTATCGCACGGCGGCAATACACGGACTCACGGGTAAACACTCCATTTTACAAGGTACGTGCATACGAAGCAAGCTTGTCGCCAACGCTGGCGAGCGATGGCTTGGGTTTGAGGAGCACCGGTGAAAAGCCAGTCATGTTGCTCTTGGCGGTATCCATGGGCAGCACAAGGGGCTGTGCATCAACAGACTCACGCCGTACCGGACACAGACTCGGACACTGACGCACTAGCTTTCGCTGGCGTGAAAACTGGCACGATGGGCAGCCATTACTTGATCTCGCTGCATCCATTCGAAAGCCCCTGGAAACAGCAGCGTGCCATGTCGCTAGGCTCGTACCTGTACTGATACAGCCAGGAACATGTCCTGGTGTTGAACCTCCAAGCAAGAAGCTGCGCGTCAATGATACCACGATGTGAGCCGGCGCTCGTGTCAAAGACCACACGTCGCCGACGACGAGTGGTCTTTGGTGAAGTGCCACTCTATCGGCCAGCTGCACCTACCCAGCCCCCGCGGTCGGTCGCCATATCCATGCACACTATTCTCGTTCATGATACACTATTTAAGAAAACCCATGCGCTCGGTAAAGTCCGGATTGCCACGATGGCGTTTGGCTGCCATTTTCAAGCTCGCCGGCAACATGGCATCTCATGACCGAGGGTCGGACGAGCCGCTGCTGCCGTCGTCGACGCCGTCGTTCCATCCGCGCACGCCCAACATGCGCGAAGCCTACGTGAAGCGGCTCGGGTACATTCCGCTGGCTTTCCAGGTAGTACATACGCGGCTATGACCACGCAACGTGTCACACTCACGCACCCGCATTCTAGCGCATGATGGACTTTGTCTCACTCACCCCACGCAAGATGGATCGCGCCAAGGTACGTCGCGCCTAAACCATGTGGATGGCCCTCAAACTGGCTGCTGTTGCTGCATCTAGGCAACGGCAACGGACCACGAAGCGTTTGCCCATCATCCTACAATTGACCCGACCATGTCGCCATCGATCATCCCGCCCCCCGGGTCCATCCGCGGCTCCATCTTCAACCTCTGCGGCGCGACATTGGGCGCGGGCGCGCTCTCGCTGCCGTACGCAGTCGCGTCGTCGGGTATTACGTTTGCCGTCGCGCAGCTCGTGCTCGCGGCCTTCCTCACCGTCTACACGATCCGACTGCTCATTCGCGCCGGGGACATTACGATGCTCAAGTCGTACGAGGACCTCGCGCTCTACTGCTTTGGGAAGAAGGTCGAAGTCTTTGTCGAGCTCAACATCCTCGTCTTCTGCTTTGGCATCTCGGTCGCGTACCTCGTGACGCTCGGTGACATCATCACGCCGCTGGGTGCACTCGTGCTTGGCGACGACAGCTTCTTTGCGCAGCGCTGGGTGCTCATGAGCATCTTCTGCTTTGCCATCATGCTCCCGCTCTCGCTCCTCAAGGACGTGAGCAGCCTCCAGTTCTCGTCGATGCTTGGCGTCTTCTCGATCATCTTTCTCGTCTTTGCCGTCGCGACGCGGTCCTTCATGGCCATCCACGCCGACGGCCTCGCGCCCGACCTCCGTACGTTTGTTTTATATGCTGCTTACGATCTCACGACTTGGTATGCTGGTGTAGACTACGTCCTCAACACGAGCAACGGCCCCAACTTTATGCTGAGCGTGCCGATCGTTATGTTTGCGTTCACGTGCCAAGTGAACGTGTTTTCGATCTACACGGAGCTCCAGCGCCCGTGCATCCGCCGCATGAACAAGGTCGTCGACCGCGCGACCACCGTCTCGGTGCTCATCTACCTCACGATCGGCCTCGTCGCGTACCTCGCATTCGGCTCGTCGCTCACGGAGTCGTCCAAGAAGGGCAACATCCTCCTCTCATTCCCGCTCAACGACACGCTCATCGCGGTCGCGCGCGCGGCGCTGACGTTCACGGTCGCGGTGGCGTTCCCGCTCAACATTTTTCCGTGTCGCTTTACGCTCGACATGATGTTCTTTGCGTCGGCCAAGGACTCGACCGTGCGCCACGTGGCCGTGACGGTCGGTCTCGTCCTCGCTGCGCTCATCCTCGCGATCTTTTGCCCGAGCATCAACGTCGTGTTTGGCATCATTGGCGGCACGTGCTCGTCGATCGTGTGCTTTTGCTTCCCCGCGGCCTTTATCATCAAGCTGGAGCCGGGTCCGCTGCTCGGCCCAGCCAAGATTGGCCCTGTGATCCTCTTTGTCGGCGCGATCCTCATGGGGGCCGTCGGGACTGGCGTCACGGTCTGGTCCAACTTTTACCAATAGTTCTGCATTCCTTCCTTGCATGTATCCCGCACGACGTGTCGTCGTCGTTCGTCCTTAGTTCAAATTATAAAAAACACCGAATGTCGCTATTTCAACACACTTTCAAGACCTTTTTGCCGTACTTCAAGCAGCATTTGCGGCGACGCCGGACGATCGCAAGACGATAGCACAACTTACTATTCGAGACTGGCATCGTCATTGTCAAAACGAAACACACGAAGCTTCTGACG